AAGGTTTGATGTTTGTCTAGTCTTAGGTGCAATTGCAAGGTTTAAAGGTGTAATGTTTGTCTAGTCTCAGGTGCAAGTAGAAAGTTTAAAGGTGTGATGTTTGTCTAGTCTCAGGTGCAATTGCAAGGTTTAAAAATGTGATGTTTGTCTAGTCTCACGTGAAATTGCAAGGTTTAATAAGGTTATGTGTGTCTAGTCTCAAGTGCAATTGCAAGGTTTTAAAGGTGTGATGTTTGTCTAGTCTCAGGTACAAGTAGAAAGTTTAAAGGTGTGAAGTTTGTCTAGTCTCAGGTGCAACTACAAGGTTTTAAAGGTGTGATTTTTGTCTAGTCTCACGTGAAATTGCAAGGTTGAAAGAGGTGATGTTTGTCTTGTTTCAGGTGCTATTGCAAGGTTTAAATGTATGATGTTTGTCTAGTTTCAGTGGAAGTTTAAGATTTAAGGGGTGACGTTTGCATGATATATAATTTTTGCGTATACAGTTACGGTGGGGTTTCTCGTAAGGTTATAGCGATCAGAAAGAGAGGTCATCCAAAAACTGTGTATTTGTTTAGTTGTTGATTTCAGCAAAACTATTTGGGTTAGCTGTCCCCAATTTTGAAGTTATAAATTAGAGGGAAGGCAGCTAGCCAAAACCGCCAACTGATTGGCTATACTTTTCACAAGGTACGTGATTTTTTTTTAGCGGTAACAGAACGACCCATGGATCTTTAGCTCCGTCGCTACCCACCGGACCGCGTTCGGCCCCTAAAATGTTGTAATCCAATAAAAATGGGACAAGAAAATTGCGAAGCAGAAGGAATTGTAAGATAGAGATACGGCTTTGTTCTTTTCATTGTAACTACATTCGTTATCTTAAATCGTTCAGTAACTGACAGACTTAGGCACGATTGACGAGACGTCAACAAGCGAAAGTCGTAAGAGATAGCTGAAGAAAATTTTTTTAACAGTTGCGTTTTTTGAAGCGAAAGATAGAACTTCAAATCTATGCAGAGTTTTATATAAAAAGACATTCTAGTGATTTTTTTCTTGTCCAACACTTACGATTTTAGGGTTAGAAATAGTGGCCAAAATTATCGAGAATATCAGAAGGTAGTGTGGAAAGTAATTAAAGCTTATCATTGTTTCTTTTTAAAGAAAAAAGCATTCCCTATATGGGCCAAAACGTAAAAGCTTGGTCGGCGCCATCTTAAAAAAAGGCATTCCCAATATGGCCTAAGACGTAGAAGCTTGGTCGGCGCCATCTTAAAAAAGGCATTCCCTATATGGCCTAAGACTTAGAAGCTTGGTCAGCACCATCAAGATTTTTATTTATTTTAAGCATTTATGCTAAATGTACAGTCGTTGCTTAAGATATCGTTCTAAATACATAATGCTTAGCTAACACGTGGTTTTATGACATGAAAGATTTAGACATTTAACACTGCGAGAACTGACCTTCTTCTAGAATATCAAGTAGTTGGTCTGTCCTTGAATAACATACTTTTTATTTTGTACACCCTTTACAGATAGTTAGGTGTTCAGATATGTTCAATGACTTAGTTCATTTAAAGTTTATCTGGTGGATCATAGACCCTCTGCCAAACCTAACAACTAGTTGTCTTCTCTTTTCTTTTCAAACTGTTTAACTTTCGGACCAGTAAATGAGAGTTCTTTACCCTGGACCTGTCAAACCTGACGATCTGCCTGTGTTTCAGCCACAACACTCCCGACCGGTTTCTAAAGATCACTTATTCCACTGAGTCACTTCAGAACTCTCACACCCAGCT